AATACCGCGCCTCATCGCATGCATGCAGCAGCCAAGTATTACGAGGAAGATGCTGAAAGAAGCTGACTGTAAAATACGGGTGTTCATCAGGAATACTCTCCACTTGAATGTTCACTGCCATAACTCAGTGGTCTACGCCGCTGTCAGAGATGGGGGATTGGGTATCTTCTGCTTACACGAACGAATTCCTGGCATAATATTTCAACGCATAAACAAACTGCGAGAGCGCGACGAGTTATTCGCTGCAATATTGCAAGCCGATAACAAATTGTTGATGCGTATCGAAAATTTAACGTCACCAATAAGTGGTAATGCCGCAAACCGAGAACACCATGCGGCTGCACTGAATGCATCTTTCTCCGGATGCAACGGCTTGAGACAAATGGCGAATAATAAATGCAGCAGCCAATGGCTCTACGATCCGCCACAATTCTGGTCCGGTGAGGATTATATTAAAGCAGTTCAACTCCGCTTCAACCTTCTCCCATGCAAGGGAATCCCATCAAATCCGGCTACAGAACGCCGCTGCCGAGGTGAACACTGCAGGCGTCAAGAAACAGCGTGCCATATATTGCAGGCATGCAGCACAACACATATTGATAGAATTAAACGCCACAACACTGTTCAAGACATCGTAGCTGCACGCAGCAGAAAGCAAGGCTGGGCAGTTGACGTAGAAAAACATGTCTACGGTCGGGACGGCATTATGAGAAAGCCTGATCTCATACTTCGCAAAAACGAACAAATAATAATATGCGACATAGGTGTCCACTGGGAAGGCGAAGAAACTCTGCAACATTTCTATAACGCGAAAATCAACCACTACAGCTCTGAAGCGTTTATAGGAAAGTTGAGAGACCTTTACCCAGGAAAAGCGATAAATGTACTGCCATTCATAATGGGAGCAAGAGGAGCATGGTGCCGAAACAACAGCAAACTGGCCAGCCTCCTTAACTTCACACAGACGGAGATCAGAACAATTGTTGCTTGTGTACTAAAAGGTGGAATAATCGCGCACTCACGCTTCATGAAGCACGTGTGGGAGCGACAGAATTATTACGATTGTTAATAATTCCAAAGGCAACGGCGGCCAAACATTTCGCCGAAATTGGGTCAGCAACACCCCGTTTTATTGTTTAACTATTTAGCTAAACACTCATTGTATTATATTATCTTACTACTTTATGTGTTGTTAAATAGAATAGAGTGGTAAATGCATTATGCTATAATTTTTGTAAACTTAAATAATTGAACAATAAAAATGATTTTAATAGCCAAATGCCTCGTCATCTAATTAGTGACGCGCATGAATGGATTAACGAGATTCTTTCTGTCCCTATCTACTCAGTTGTGTTTTGATGTTTACGTTGAATACATGTGCGCAAATAAGTGTGTAATAAAAAGTATAAAAAAATCGTTAAAAACAAACAGAAAAATTGTCAAAAAATAGTGTTTGTGAAATAAACATTTTGTGTGTAAGGGGCATATATTCATATTGCCAAAAACTGAAATAAATCTCTATAAAACTGAAAAAAGGTAAAATTTTTTTTTTCCTTTATAAAAATAATTTGCAAAAATTGCTACATATGTTTTTGGATGCGCATGCGCACTAAAAGTAAACAACACATTATAAGACAAGACAGATTGTTTCAATTCCAATCTGTTTCTTCTAAAGTAAACTACACAAGACAAGACAGTGTTTCATTTCCATTGTGTTCTTGCCATATACATTATAAGTCGGGACGAATAGTTTCGTTTCCGCATCGTTCCTTTCATAAAAATAAAAATAAACAAAAATCAGAGTGTTTTACTGCCATTGATGATTTTGCCTCTACAAGTCGAATCAGATTGCATCGATTTCGCATTGTTCCAGCTGTAATTTTGAACTTTCACTATTTGCGGTTTTACTGGGCCGATTTTTGGCCCAGTGCTGTTTTGGTGCTGTTGTAATTGCTGAACTGATATTGGTGCTGTTTTTGCTGCATATCCTCATTGGAGTGCTGCTCTTCTACATCTGTGCTGCCAAATTACGTTTACTGTTTTTGCTGAGGTGCAGTTAAACTTATTGAGGACTGCTGCTGGGCGTTTGCTGCAACTATGGGCAGGGGCCTTAAGAGGGAGAAAGGGGGGTCTCTTGCAGGAGTGTCTGCGGGGTCCGGCCGAGGTCAGGATACTTCTTCTGACGCGGACATGTCGTCCGACTCCGAGGTGGTTGTGTTGGGAGAGTTGGCGCAGAACTCCAAAAAGCGCGGGGCAAGTCGTGTCTCCGAGTCCGGTGATGAGGCTAAGAAGGCCAGGGGTGAAGGAAATAAAAAAAAAAGAGAGAGAAAAAAAAGAAAAACAATGAAAGCAAGATGTCCGTCGATGCCTACAAATGCTAGAAAACAAGAACGAGTGAATATTCCCGTAACTTTTGGAGGGATTAACTGATCAAATCAAATCTCCTATTATTCGTGGCAGGTCAGAATGGCTAAGGGCACATATGCCCACAAGCATTCCAATAAATGGCATACAAGTATTACATTTGTATCTGGATAACTCAAAGGGATCAATTTTTTGCGCCTTATCCCAGGGATTGATATAGCATAACATAAAAGTAATAGATGAAAATGAAAAAGATCTTTTTTAAAATAAAAAGAAGTGTTTCAGCACGTGCCAAACTTCAAATCATCCAGGAAATTTTCGTTTTGCAGTTGAAGAGGTTTAGAATCGTAAAACAACTGCTGCTGCTAGTACAACATGGTTCAATGGAAACCGAGTATACGCCTCCGTACGTCCAATACTCCGCGCCTCCTCACAATGAATGAATATTCGCTATACTCCAAAGGTAAGTTTGCATTTATCTTTACTCATTGTTATTTATAACTTATTTACTAATTTCTATTTAATTTTAGATTGACAAACATGATATGCCGCCGCTCACTGCCAGCCCATAAAAACGAATATGCGCCTCCGCGTGTTCACTTCTGCGCGCCTCCTCACAATGAATGAATATTCTCCTATATGCTGTACCATTTTATATCTGGTTCTGATGATGGTCTGGCTATATTTTGAGATATTAAGTTGTTAACCGAGCCTCTGGCATTTGAACTTGAAGGTCATGAAAGCGGCGTTAATGCTGTAACTGGTCTACAATACTACAAGTGGTGAATGGCTTTTGACTACTGCAGCGGCGGATTCAACCATCAAATTATGGTCTTGTAGACATAAGGAAAATGTTTTGCAGTGTATTCAAACTATTCCGTGCACTTTAATATATGCTACAAATTACATTACAACCTATACTAAGGTATAAGCTATGAGTTGATTAATTCGTGTCTTTTCGCCATATATCTTTATTTTTGAAACGGAGTCTATTAAGTCAAAAAGCTAAAAATATTAAATTACTACACATCACTTTTGACTTTTATAACTTTCGGACATTTTTCTGATTTGGAGGTTTAAGTGGACGTTACTCGGATAGGGTACGATCGAGGGTGTAGGATGGTTGCCACATAGGGTAGTTTGTTCGCTTCCAGCATGCGCTTATGCTAGAAGACTTAAAAATCAGTTCCAATATGGTGGATGTGGAAGGCGTATGGAGTAACATCATAAGTCCATTGTAAGGACATACGGTGGATCGTTTTTACAGATGTCAAATGGAAATGATGAAATAATCAGCGGTGACATTCTTCTTCCTGTTATAGATGTCGTTTATGCCGTTGTTGAAGCTAAACTGCAACCGCAAAAAGCAAAAAAAAAAAAAAATTGAAAATAAATAGTAAGCCTTAACTTGTTATCATAATATATTTGGATTTTTGGAGTTGAAATTAAGATGTATTATTAAATTAAATTTATTTAGGTATGATTCCTATTACCATAATCCAAATAATCAAATATTTTTTACAAATTTTTTCATATAAAGCCAGAAGTGAACTGGTATTAAAGATGGCAAATCAATTGCATATGTTATGTGAACTTACTAACAGTAACTAAAATTGGCTTGTGCATCCCAAAAATTCCTTTTTTGCTTTAAAAAACACTTTTCAAAGAAATTTTTCACCAATCACTTCTTCTAATTGCACCCTATTGGACGCCTCATCGCGTAGAAAATGCCAATTATTTCATATTGGAATCCGCGGATAGTGTAAGTCAATTCACGGATCGTATTCATTTGAAAGGTTCTCAGATACAGGAGAAATTTTTCGATTTGTTGGAATATATTGGTTTCCAGCTGAATTTTGTACATTACAAAAAATTGGTATCGTTATCACTTCTGCTTATAAATAATCACTCTCCGTCTGGGACACCAAAGTATGCTTTTAATATCTGCGAAAAGACATTGACAGAAACCAAGCAACCGAGGTATTGTAATGATAAGAAAAATATGTTTTTAATCCTTTACTTCATTAACCCAAACTCCGTGGAGTGAAATACGGCGCTGGGAGATTTTAAGTTATCGCACGTCACTTGGCGTATCAGTGGTAGCTCCGAATATGTAGTATTATCGCGACATCTGGTGGAGCTAACGTTGTCATGAAAATACTTTCAACGTCATATCTGTAATGCTTGAACGTCTTTTGGAATGGTATTAAAATGGTATTCTTAAATGTTCTCAATATTCTCTTTATTTATTAAATTGAACCCAATTTAGTAACAATATGACATTTTTCAGAGCGCATCTGTATTTACAACAACGATAATTAGTTGGATTTTGCGTGTTTTTGATAGACATCTTTAGATATTCTTCAACATCTGTTAACGTTGAACTGCCATCATTCCATCGTAACCCATGAAAATGATTATACAACCAGTTGTTTGTAGTTCTATCCTTCCCCCCTAAAACTTTGAATATTTGAATGGAGGTCTCATTAAACAGTCTTAAACAGTCTTAAACAGTTGTTAACAGTTCAAAACACTTTGTTAAAACAGCGAAATTCCGGATCGAAACTATATAAAAAGTCATTAAACAGTTTTAAACAGTTGTTAACACTTGTAAACACTTTGTTAAAATAGCGAAATTCCGGTTCGAAACTATATAAAATGTCATTAAACAGTCTTAAACAGTCTTTTTATCTTTCTCCGCCAGCGGATCTTTGGCGGTTTGGCGGTTTTGTTTGTTATCTTCCATCTCTTTGAATTTTCCACGCATTGGACTTAGTTTATTTTGTAAACCCGGAGTACATAACTCAAATGCATCGAAATCGATTAGAAATTTAATATCCTTCAAAACTTTCGCATTAATGCCTTCCTTTCCTTTGTATTGGAAACGAACGAATTGAACAGTCAAATAAGCTAGTAGGCGACTTATCAAATACTACAGGAAATATATTTAAAATGAGAATATTTCCACAGATTTCATATAACGGAACTTACTGATCTGCTGTAATTGGCATCACGACCTAAGGATTCTGAAAATTTCACTGAAGTCTCGTTCATCTTGGATTTTAAGCCGCTAAGCATATACTTAACTTCGGGGGAAATGAAACAGCTTAATTGTAAAAAGTTCTCTTTGCCGACTGTGGGTTCCTCTTCCGGACTCTCGCTACAACTCATTTTTACTTCAAAAGCGCCCCTGAAATATTGTTCAATAAAAGAACTAAAGGCGATTTAATTAAAGTATTAAGAATTTTGTTATTTAGGTAGCAAACATACCTGTATTTCTTAATTTGTTCCTTCGCGTCAGCAGACTCAGTATTGTCTATAGCTGGCAGTTTTCGTTGTAACATTTTCAACAGTTCCGACCAACACTCATTGGCATCCTGTTGCCGGTATGTGCCGTTTTCACCTGTTTGCGAGAACTGTAGAAAGGCACTGTAAAATGTTTGAAATAAAATTATAGGAGTAATAGTGCTCCCCCGTTCCATTTGTGTAAATAAAAATTTTAAACCCCATGTAATAGCCAGCGAATTATCATCAGCATTGTCTACACGGAAACTGTCCAATGCGCTGCGCAATTCGGGCACAGCATGTAGGCATTGTAAAGTAGCACTAAGATAAGAAGTATTTCCCAAATTGGTGAGACCTGCTGGTAACTCCAACTATGACGACGAAATAAATAAATTTTTGCAATCTTTACACAATGATTTAATTTTTTTTAATTTTAATTTACACACCGCTGTAGCCATTTCTATTTCGTTCATGTCTTCAATAAACTTGACCGGCTCTGATGGTTGTTGTGGTACTTCTTTCTTAGTGCCCAAAAGAAGAATAGTCGCCCTCTTAAAAAGAGATGCTTGCATTGCCAATGTATTTAAAAATTTCGCACATAAACTTACCTCGTTTGTTTGCAAATTCCACTCCTCATCTTTAAGTATTCCGCCTTTGCACATCATCTTTTAGCGTGCTGCGCAGTATTCCCCTGTTGACATTGCCAAAATTAGAATTAAAGGAAAAAATCTGACAGTTGCGAAACAAATAAAACCAAATCAATAATATAAACAAACGATGTTAATAATTTATTAATTTTTATTATTTGAAATTTCTTTTACAGCATTGTTACAAAACACATTCTATTCACTTTAATAAATAAAATTTAATCAATTTATATTGATTTGCACAAAAATCTTTTGTATATGTAAATGACATCTTTCACTATATAATGACCAGTTGTAAATAGGAAAACACGGTATGTGCAAAAAAAAAACTTTTCTAGAAACACTGTAATAGGCTTGGCCTCGTTTCATTGTAGTAATAGTAGGTAAAATTTTTGCAAATCCATGCAACAGCCAAAAGGTCTTAAAACGTGTTAAGCTAGTCGATGCAGAATTCCCCTCCTAACCGACTTCATCATGTCTGTCCGTATATTTTTACGTGCACTCTATATATTGTAATTTTCAATATATTCTAGAATTTGATTAGATCAGATCACTTTGGAGACCAGTTTTGAAAACATCGGCGTAAAGTAAACAGGCGTAGAATATTTATTTGATGTTTTTATCTGTTTTCACAGAAACTTCTTATTTAATACAGCAATTGTATGTCTAATGAAAGAACGAATGAAAAAAAGTTAACTTATTTAATCTGTTTTGAGTGATACTAGAACCAACTTGTCTACCATGTGAATTCAAAAATAAATACTATTTTTATTTTGAAAGAGAAGTTTGTTTTCGGATTTCGAGACAACTATAAATAACGAAAATTGTGTGTCCTGTAGAAAAATATTAAATTTAAAAGTATACGAAGAAACAATAAGAAAAACTATGTATTAAAAACGAACATTAATATTTGTGATTTATTTACGTCGTTAAAGATATTTTATGCGGATGCGTGCAGTCTAACTTTCGTTATTCATACGTTGTTTAGGAGAAGACATAACTTCCACGAAAACAAAAAGTAAGGTATGTTTTATATTCTCTTTCCGAAAATTGCATCTGTCAAGAAAAAAAGAAAAAACCTCTAAGTTTGACGAGAACGAGAAAAGGAAGAAAAATAATTCGTGAACTTCAATATGTTTGTACCATCAAACAAAAATCAAACAAAAAACTAATATGAAAAAAAATAAAATAGTCTACTCAATTGTATTATATTATTTTCATTTCATTTTCATATTTACAATGTCGCTAAGACGTCTGTTTTACACATGAATAAAATGTACTTGCTGTTACACAGGTTCTTACACTGCTTAAAAAGTACAATTTTCTTTTAATTTATATTATTTTACTTTTTTTTATAACTATTTGAATAAAAAATACAATTTTCTTTCAATTTATGGTAATTTACTTTTTTTTATAACTATTTCTTTTTTTGGGAAATTTTTAAATTTGCACACAAAAAACACTTGTAAGAAGCTTTATGCTTTGCTTTCTGCTAACTTTTGACTTGTCAAAACACTTCCTTTGATTTCTCTCTGAAATCCGTTAACGGTTTTTTTCTTTTACATTGTTTACAATAATACTCAATAAAATGCCATCCACAATACTTGTTATATCCACAAATGCCATCCACAGTACTTGTTATATCCACGAATGTCACAATAGCTACGGAATTTGCGATACTTTTTAGATTTTGCAAATCGCTCAGTCCTAAGCTTTTTTTCTGCTCAATCGACGCTTTATCTTGCAAAATGCTGGTGGAACATTTGAATTTTTTTTTTCTGATCTTTTCTTACATATAGAACAGAGGCAAAACTTTCATACAAAACTTTTGAGAACAAACACCAACACAATCAGAATCAGAAAGTTTCTGGTGTTCTTCCTTCTTGATTTTTTCTTTACATATTTACGAAATGTATGAAATAGTTTGCCCTTCGGGGATATTTATGGTCTGCGATATTTACGAAGTATGAAATAGCCTACATGTTGGGGATATTTTTCATGGTAGAGGTTATTTATGAATTTAGTTATAAATATAAACATGTATGAAATAGTTCACATATCGGGATTTTCTTTGGATCCTCAATTAGATAAAATGTTAATAGTTAGTTGCCAGCATAATTGTTCAAACGAAATTTTATCTATCACCGTAAGCTGTCGGTGAGAGCGTCTTTTTAAATTATTATTATTATTATTACGTTTTCAATGAAATATTTTAAGAACTTTAGTCAAATTAGTCAACTGCAACTACATGTCATTTAACTGTTTATTTTTTGTTAAAGAATTTAGGGAATTATATATTCGCACGACATGAAACGATTTTTAAAATCTACTTTTATCAAATATATTTATGCAAAGGAACTATTTATCAAAGTTCGGTGAACATGCAGGGGACAAAAGGTTATGTTCTAACGACTACAACCTCCTTAACAAAGGAATGTAATAATTGTAAGAACTTATTAGACAAGTTAAAAGAATTTATAATTTGTGGGGACAATAATCATATGCAAGGTGTTAACCAAACCATTCAATATTTTAATTTAATGGAGATCCCATAAGAATTCTTAGTGGACGCCCAGTTTTTAAACAAACGCTTTCGCCAAATACCATCATTAGTACATCCGGATAAGTTCGGTACTAAATTTTTACGTGAACAAAATAGTTCTGCAGGTTGAAGATCTTTAATCAATAAGACTTATACAACCCTTTCAAACGCATATATGTTAAAACCAATAGGTTTTCAGTTACCGGGACATAATGACGCATTGAATAAGGAATCCCATATGGAAATAGTGGAATGTACTAAACAAATTGAAGAAGCCACTAATATCAAAGTACTTGCAAAGTTACTTTTAAAGCACAACTTGCAAAAGAGACTGTAGAGATTCGAGGGCAACGATTTTGAGACTGCGCAATTGCTGTTCATAGAAATGAAGTACTTAAGTAATATATAAAATAGTGTCAAAAATAAATCAGAAGCCACAGCTTAAACATAACCGTGGAAAAAGTAGAGGAAGCGCATGTTGTTTATAACTAATGGCTATAAGCTATAGAGGTTTATTTTATTTCCATAAATTAAATACTAACGTGTGGAAAATCCAAGAGTATACAAACGAAATAAAAGATGAATGGAGTTCATATAAAAGAAGAGATAAAGTGAAATTAGGCCTTTTACAGTCATTTTCGAAAATAGGAGCCATTTTTATTGTAGATATTTTTCATTAAACAGATTATATATAATTTGCTTTAGTCGGGAGTATCTTCCTAATAATTAGCGCAATTTTGCACATTTTCTGTGATTTTGCCCTTACTATTTAGTAAGTTTTAGGCCAAGAATGAATGCTACGCTGTGTTTGATTGAACCGTAGCATTTTTAAGATCAATCTCTATGCAAACAACTATTTTAAAGATGCCGAAGTTTATAAATTTGACTAAGAATCGGCAAAAAATTATGCATTATGAAAGGGAAGGGTCACATATGTTCTTACAAATTATAGGCCTTCTGACGGCGACAAAGCCTCATTTTTGGTATTTTATAATAAAATTTGTCTCAAAATAGCAGCATGACTTGCAAATTTATTGTACAAAGTTTGAAACGTATAAATCTATTTTTCGTATCCTTTGCTCTCTAAGGAATTGTGCGGAAACAAAAGTTTTGTATGGCAATAGTGTGTAATTAAGAGAATAAGAATAAAGAATAATATGTTCTTCGGCAAAAACAAATTAATTTCACTTGATTTTGATCATGTCGCATCACGTTTTTGATTATAAGAGTTCTTCGAAAAAAAACAATTTTGATTTTTTATGTGCATATTCGTAGTTAATTCGAATTAATCAGTTGACTATGTGTGACGAATGTATCAAAACGTTAATACACAAAATTTTGTGTTGCGACGAATGCGTACGTCGCGATCCTTGTCGGATTTTCTCATAAAATTTCGTGTGTATGTTATTTTCTCAAGTTATTTCGTTATAGCCCAATTTATTATTATGTAGGACGAGTATACTCGTTATTGCTAAGTTCTTGTGAAGCAGTTTAAATGCACATTTCCGAAAGAGGTCAACATAAGTAACTGATTAATTCGTTATTTTCGTAGCATTAATTTCCAAAAAAAAAGGTTCATTTTTTCACGTTTTTTTTTATCGTCTTATAACTTTTAAAATTGAATTATATCTTTGGTAAGAAACAGAGAGAGCAGAGGTGCAAAGGGAAAAGTTTAAATAGTTAAATATAAAAACATCGATCGAATTTCTATAAATTCGTTACATATAGAGCAGTGGCCGTTACCAAGGCGCCAGATAAGATTGTGTAGAATATGTTGCGTAAAATCTAAAAGAAAATCATTGTAAAATTATATGTTATATGTGAAAGGTCAATCGAACCTTATCTTGCCATTTACGATTAGCAATACATTTGTTGTAAGGCATACTAGTAAACGATACACTATTGTAAAGCGGGACCCAAATCGTGGGAAAGAATCGGAAAAGTGTGGTATCCAAAAATTTCCGACATTTAAAAGTGACACGTTTAGTTAAATCGCGCATCTGGTAATAAAAGATTACAACACGTCTCATTAAATGTTTTCAGTACTAAGCTATATTTAACTTACTTCGACGTAATTGTACATGGCCAAATCACAAATCGCATGAGCATCTCGCCAACGGGATTCAGTGAATTGCAATAAAGCTTTATCCAGAGTGATTTCCGTTTGACTGATTATTGAGAATAATAAACTGCAATCTTCCATGCCGGCATTCATACCTTGACCATAATACGGTACCATAGCGTGAGCTGCGTCACCCAGTAATACAGCTTTCGATTCAAAATGATAAGGATTGCACTGAAATAAGCCCATTACCAACTCATCTATTAAATTTCTTTTAAGAAAATCTCTCTCACCTTTATCGATAGTAAATACTGCGGTTTAGATTTGAAAAAGTCTTTTATTAATTTTTCCTCGCCTAAAAGCGGTAAGGCGTCTATGTAATACTTGATGAAGAATTCTAAAAGATCTTTGGGTGTTTTAATGTCAGCGAATACTTTGAATGGCATCGATAAAGTTACGGTGAAAGATTTATCCTGATTGGGTAAAGCGATCATCATGAAAGTGTCACGCGGCCATATATGTAAATAATTGGCAGGCATTTGAAATTCATTGTTCTTAGCAGGTATACATAGCTCCAAGTAGCCGTGCTCGATGTATTCTTGGGAGAAATTGAAACCGTATTTTTTAATCATTTGTTGACGCACTGCACTAAAGGCACCATCGCAACCAACTATCAAATCAGCTTTGGCTTCCGCGTCCTCTTGGAAGGGTCTGCATAAGATATGAAAAGTATATAAAAGAATAATTTCTATCTAAAATGGTTGCTCCAACGTAATACTTATTTTACCGTTAACCAGTTAACTCTATATGATGGATATATACGCCATTATTTATCCACCCGACCTTGTCGGATTTCCTCATAAAATCTTATCATTATGAACATGCATTTGCCAAAATAATTTATTTTAAAAAATATTTTTATTATTCTGTCAAATTGTTTCATTATAACGTGATTTCATGTTACACAGGCTCTGGTTTGACCACTATACGCATATATCTCGAGTCGAGATAAAAAAGTTGACACAAAGAGGTTGAGTCAACTGGTTAAAGACATCATAACGTATGTGTACTTTTGGAAGAAAGAGCATTGATCAGCCCGAAAAAAACAGCGGAAAAAACAGAAAACTAACTTTAAAGATTTTGATCTATAGTCTGCTTAAATAAATCTCGTTAACTTTAAAAGTTTAATATAATACAGGATGGCCTTGATTGGCTAACAATAATTTTTGAACTGCAATATGGAGAATCTATTACGTATCGAGTCAACTAAAAAAAGGTTGCGGCGTTTCCCTAGTAGATGGTTTAAAATTCGTATAGCTGTGGTAACATTAGCCCTGTCAAGCCTGTTTTTGATACATTTGATATTGCGACATTTGTGAATTCAGTCAAAGGTGCCTACGTTTTGAAAATGAGCCTAAATTGTGAAAAATACGGTAAATATTCACTTCGCAGGCTGATAAAAAGAAGCTTTTGGGAAAGATGTTTTATTAAAATTACCAGCACGCAAATGGTTTGATCATAACTGTGGGAATTTTAATAAACATTTTTGTATTCCTATCTATTGATTCAATGAAATCGTTTATTTCCTTTTCCTTTCAATGTGCTCTTGTTCACCTGAACTGATGATGATGACGTCAGGTTCAAAAAATTATTATTCTATGTCTTATATGAACATTCGTTTTTAGTGGAATCTTTTGTAAGAATGTGGCTGAGTTTACTTAAAAAAATTGTAGAATTAAAACCCACCACATGTTTCTGATATCTGTTAAAGCAAAGAAACTTTGAGAAGCAGCTTAGCAAGATCGCTTCTGTCAAATTACTGTTACATACATACATATGAAAAGATAGCGTTTTTCACTATCTAAAGGCCTACTTTTTGTAGGAACTCTCACATGGGAAATCCAATGCAAATTTTTTATCTCAATCTAGCGACGTCGAATAACTACTTAACAGAGAGTTTTCTTAACAAATTTGTTAAAGATAAGGCGCTATATGAAGGACCAAAACATCCAATTGTATCAAAAACCACACGAATATAACGGTGAACACAAAAATAAAAGGTCATTATTAATTAAATTTGGGAATCAGTAGAAAACCGTAACGATATTCACAACGTTTGTGCTTCATTGAGAAGAAGCGTATAAAAATATGGCCACATACGAGAATAAGCGAAAAATGTGAGAATAAACGTATAAAAATTTGGCCACATAGAAACCAATACCACTGAGCAGAAATTACGTTATGAAAATGATCTGAGATTTCCATTTAATATACGAAAATCGTCATTAGATAAAAACATATTAGACTTATTAAGCACAGTGCAGTACTCCATTCGACTAATTGTTGACAAAGTCCTTGACATTCTCCAAAAATTTTAAGAAAATCGGCCTATTCATCTTATCTTATGACATTTCTCTGCGGAACTAAATATTGGCCATAAAACCATTTGAGTCATTTTCATAAGGCAGTATATAAAAAGAGATTGTCGTTATTTGGAAGCCGTCGAATTTCCAGCTCCAACCATTAGTAATCCCTACTGAAGATGGATGGAATCGAGCCATTTTTGAAATTTTTTATAATGTACAATACATATGGCAATAATGTGCAGAAAAAATTCGTTATCCGAAGTGGACGAAGCTGTGGAAACGCTGAAAAGCTCAGAAGATAATTTTTGATGTTTGATTTGGTGCGATTTAAAGGGAATTGTAGACCATGGGTTATACCAACCTGGCTGTATTATTGATTTCACTGTTCATTCTTAACCACCAGCGCGATTAAAGCGTGTAATTAAGCTAAAGAGTTCAGAATTGATCAATAAAAGAAGCATTTTCTAACATGGCAATGCGGCACACGCTGCAGCACAAGCTTGACCTACCTTGGACTGCTATTCGTTTCGGGCTATGCAGAACTCTCTTAACGGAGTAAAGTTGACATTAAAACAAGTCTGTGAAAATGTGAAATGTGACGATATTAGAGGCAAGGTCACAAAAGGTTAATAAAGCCTATTATCAACATAAAAAAATGGTTTGAATTCTGGTAAGAATTGCCACGATCTTTTTCCATGGATCCTTGATAGCGAAAGATTTTTAGTTATCTTGTGGGCATTTCTAATTTTATAGTCGCCATGCAGAGGAACTTAAAGAAAGATTGGATTCTATTGATAATCACTGTGAATATAACCGCTGCGAAATTAATACAATACCGGAAAATTCGTTTTTGAGATATCGGTCATGAGTGGGCCGGTCGATCAGCTACGAATATGATATGAAAACCACTAAGAATTCAAGCAAAAGTTATTACAGTAGACAGTACGCGCGCACTTAGTTCGGTTAACAAAATTTCTTTACGACTTTCATATCTATAAATATTTAAAGTTTGATGATGTCAAAGTCCAACTATTCGTGGTCCTGATATTGACGTTTGAATTATATCGACGTTGATTGATGTTAATTAACCCTGCCTCAAGTATTAGGGTGGATTCTGTCTAGATCACCCCAAATTTCCTTGAGACTACAAGGCCGGCTTGTAGCTGTCGATACCGAGCAAAGTCGCTTGAGTAAACTTCGAAGCTCTCGAAAACTGACTCGCTGTAATGGGTAATGAGTTTACAACTGTCAAAAAGTATGCATTTTTGTAATTATCGAATGAAAAATCATTCGAGCGTAAAAGTGCTATTGGGTAAAGTGATGGAGTAATGTATTCAAATTATGACCCAGTTTACTCTCTATCAACAACTATAAGCTGGGCTTAAATTTCTTTGCTATTTGCATGCGTTACCTTTTAAAACGCATGCTTCCTTCATTGAAATTTACGGACGATAGCTTGTGTTCAAAATGGTGATGAATGTTAGGAAATTTTTCTCCAGCTATAATTAATTAAAGAAATTAAAAATCTTAATTTTTATATGCATTATTTTATATAATTTATTTACCATTTAGAAGAACTTCATTTAAATGTTTTCGTCCCACTGAATATAAGCACTGTTTAGTGCATGGATCATATAACACAATCGAGGTATTGCCTTTAACATCATGCAACATCCGTCCCCTCATTGGTATGGCTGTTGAAAGTACCTCGTCTTCGAGACCAACTTCAGCTAAAGCTTTGCGTCCACGTTGCGATAACGCTAAATTAATACTACGTCCCTGCACAAGTTCTGCTGTACGTATATCTTGACGATATTCGTAAAGATCAACTTCGTAACCTTTGCGAGCGAAATTTAGGGCAGCCAGTGAACCCACCTTGTTGTTTAAAAAAGGAGTACATAAAAAAATAATATACCATAAATAAATTGTTTGTATATTTATATAAAATATATCTATAAATAGAATGCTTATTAGATCTCCTTACAGATAAGAATGTATGCGAATTTTGCCTCTTCTTTATATGAGATATTTGCCTAATTTCATGTTAAAAAATTGGGAGCGGTTTGTCGATATTGAGTAAATTCGGTAGCTATCGCTTATGGACTCGCTGTAGCAGGTCGAGTGTTTGCGGACGTCAATAAAGTATGCGTTATGCTTATTATACTAACCTATTCTTGTGGAATTTTCCTTCTGTCCGTAGTACAAAATCCAAATTATATTTAAATATTCTCATCAGCATAAGTTCACAAGGGACATTATTTAGATTATAACAAAAAAAATCAAATTTTGCAATTGGAATATGTATGTCGCTAATTTTGCTGATTAACTCTTTTCTTTCCGCGTTTTAATATCCTGATACGGGATACGTTAAGTTTGTGCGCACATATCTGCTATAATGAGTGACCAGTCAGTAAATGCATAACACTGTAGTCTTGTCTATAGTCACTTCGCAATTCTTTTGCAAGTTTGTAGGTCTTCACTTTCGCCAGCGGGCTAATGTTTACCACAGATAGTACAAACTTCGGCAGACGGATAGGTGGTTAAACGGGCATGTTTATATTTATTCAAAATTTGAATCTGGCCAAGAATTTATATAATTTTTGTGGTCTTTGAATCTTCCTTCTGGTCTTTGCTAAATTGCGGTGCTCTATTGCTAACAGCAGCATAATAGCTTTAATATTTAATAATTTATAATTTAAGCCAATAATTTAGTATATAAGTTGCAGAAAAATCATAAATTATTATTCAAAGACACAAATAGTCTTGGCGAGAACAGCGGAGCAGTTTATGAATACATTAAGAATACACGTTCAATCACTCAACAACAGTGGATTTTTAGCGAATGCTTTTGTCTTGAATTATTAAATCAAATACTGTTATATAGGAACCTCATACGATCACGTATATGTCTCTTCGCATCCACATAATATCATTACATAGCAATCTTAAAAAATATTGTAAGTAGCGTCCTTGCCACTTCAAACATAATAGCAGTACGTAGCAATCCCGCATAATATTATTACAGTATTGTTACGAAAATTCCAAATCCAGTTAATGTCAGCTAAGTAATTTTCGTAATAATAAATTTCCTAAAAAAGGAAAAACCAAATGAGCATTCGCAGGCGCCTCATACAGCTGCAGGCCGATGAAAACGATTAGCGGAAAAACAGACAGGTAAAAGCTAAGTTGGTATTCGCAAAGGCTTAACCCCACGGTTGCCCAAGCCACTTTTAAGCGTACTACGCCCCCTGGCGAGTTAGACAATCCCCACAGAGTAGGGGCCTAAACAGCACCAGAGTCCAGAACAGTTTATTGTGTATGGAACAATAAACTCCACTCTGGTGAATGGCGAGGCCTAGCTGCACTCAATTGTTCCATTTTAGCTAGGAACTCGCCAACTACAACCACCACGAGTACTCCCCGAAGGGCCGCACCCAAGCAGTCAGGACACACAAATTAATCAACTGACTGCTTCCGCCATAAGGCTTCCACTGTGCTGTTGATCAATTACCACCATTACCCGCAGGCATCCGTGACATGTGTTCAAAAGTAAAAATAGGTAAAAGGGGAAAACTTATTCGTCATATCCCTTTTCCATTTTTGCATGTATCAATTAATTTACCAGACATTTTCTATCAATCGGCCAAAGGGAAGCCCGTCCGTCAATTCCTTTTTGCATTAATAGTATAATTAATTTATTTATTACGACTTAAGGACAAAGTCCATCATATACCCGCAGGCATACGTGGCTTTGTGAGGCGAGCTTCCTGACCCCCGTGGCTCCCAGTTTGTTTTGCAAAGCCTTATGGCATACTTTGGGCGGTTGTTAAAAACAACCGTACTTGCTTCGGATTCTCCATACTTTCCTGGTTGCCAGCACCAGTGAACTACTTTTCTTCAAGATATATAGGTCTCGGGTATTGCACTGAACATGGTAGACTAATCTAACGCACTCTACCATGCACTCGCTAGATTACTACCTTCATTGTACTTAAATACCATTCAATATATTTCCTCGGTAGTAACTAGCTATTGAGTAAGAGCTCTTCTTCCAGCCAACCCCTCCACCATCTCTCAGAAACTCGTCGCCGAGTTAGCAGCCCAAAACCTTAAACTCTTCTTAGCCGGCCGAAGCCGTTGTCCGGGGATCACCGCTGGGAGGTGAGAGTTTCGGCACATCTATGCTTCCCATCAAAGCATAGTTCATCTCCCCAAATAGGTATAGTAACGTGCTTGTAAAAATGTACATAAATAGAATATTTGTGGAAGGGAGAGTTTGTCGGGCAAGAACATTTGAGCTGAGAGTACGGCCAAAATTAATTGTGAATAATCCTACATGTAAGAAATATAATTGTAAATAAATACTCCTACTGTTGTGAAAGACAAAGTAGTAAAATAAAACAACTTTGAAGTGTATTTCTCTTGATCAAAACATCCACGATTCAGTGATACGGACTGTATCCTAGTAAAAAGCGAATTTCATAACAGTATATTATGTCCGAAGTATAATTTATACTATCTTGTCCGATGTAGTTTTTCTAAGTTGGTTTAAGTAGTTGGTTAAGAGAGCCTTTCAAAAAGGATCTTCTTCTATCTTGCTATTATCGTTCTCTGCTAATATTTCGAATTATTGTCATGATAATCCATCAAATAAATCCTTATCCTTACTAGAATCACAAGAAAATCTACGCAAATCGCTTCCTTATTCAAATCACTTTAATCGACAAAAGTTAGTAAAATGCTGAGAATTAGGGAAAACATTGAATTGAGTTAAGTTTTTATTTATGTATCTTTTGTGAGGAGAAAAATCTAGATTAAGTCTCGTCTAGAGTGAGAGACAATTGTTGTCATGTATACGTAAATATATCTTAGTGTTATTGTCTATTTTTTTTTTTTTTTAGCTTTATTGCATATAGTTTTGCAATCAAAACCTTAAACTTGTAAACAGAGAGATTACTCTTTTTGTGATTGTAAGTAAAATATATTCATAAAGACGCCGTAATAAAGTACGCAGTTGAAAAGATAAGCACGTTTTACTAGGTATTATAATAAAATATTTCAATGCTTTAGCTGGTGAACTTAAACAGGTTAAGCCCTATAAGTTATTTCTTTGCGTAATCGGGACAAGACGTTAAGGAAAGAGTTCTTTGAAAGGAAATAAAGGGGTTGACCGTTTTATTCTGCTTTTTCTTTTTTGTGAAATGACATTACAAGTGGATTCATTATGTACGGATTTGACTTTAATGATTGTATTAAATGTATATTTAAACGAAAACAAATTGTTTGGGTAACTTGAAGTTATTGCAGTTGTTTTTACCTTCACGCCATCATAATTCTGCAGTACCTATTTAAGGTGGACTGTTATTGTTAATTTTATTGTTGTTATATATTTTTATATTTATCGTTATCATAGTTCTTAGTATCAGTCTATCATTATCTTTTATTACGGTCGTATCGTAATCTTTTAAGATTTAGGAATTCAATGCATTGCATTGATTTCGGAGTACAATGACGTAAATATGATTAGGAACGTCTTATCGGCATATCACCAGCGTACCCACATGACGGTATCGCTTTTGAACTATTTTGAATGTATTGATTAGCTGAAAGTCAGCATTTTCATCTTAATTTATTTGGCTCTGATGAGCATAGGTCAAGCAAAAACTTCATAGCGGTTTTGTCTTAAATTCAAACAATTAAATAAACTTTATTAAGTCACTTTATTTTGTCATCATTGTGAGACTTCCTGGATTTTCAGGCGAAAACCGAGCTAAGTGATTTTCACAGCCTTTTTTCCAAACCAATTTTAAACCGTTAAGAGTGTTCTATAAAAAGTGAAACGTGGGAAAATCGACACACTCGCTTAGACTTCTTGCTGAGCCATTAAAAATGTGCGTGATCTCGCATTATCACGATGGAAGATATTAGTTCTTGACGCAAGAGTGTGCAATTTTTTTTGCACACTCTGTTTTAGTAATTTTCTTATACTTTTAAGGAAACATTACACAACAACTAATGATTGGAACTAGAAAGTACATTCATATACACTGTTTAATTTTGTATAGCATTTCGGTAGGCATGGACGAAATTTTTCTCCGATTAAATTACTATTTGAACTTAATATTTGTTTATTGAGGAACAAGTTACATGGATTTACGTAGATGTACATGTTGACGTGGATCGACATGTTGATCAGGACGTGGTCTCTAATTATTTTTCTAAAAGCAAAAAGCAAGGCTTACTGTGCTTGTTCAATTATCTTAAAGACTCCGTCATGCCGGAACGTAGCAAAAAATCATTTTAAACTTTTAAGTGTTAACTGGTAAATTGACGAATTGAGACTTCAATGATTTAATTTTTGTATTCGTAAAACAGCAACGAAAGATGTAATTAAAGGAAAATTTTACAAAAAACCTTTATTACTTTTATAAAACTTAGTTCTTTTTAGCAGTTTAGTAGTTAAATTAACGGTATATGTTGAAACTGCAAAAACATTTCCCGATGGGGTTGTTTGCTTTGTATTTGGAGTCGGTGGTGGCTTCTTGGTATGATCAGGCGATTGTGGATACATTGCTGCGTTATAATGCATAATAATGCATAATGTTTTAAACGATCGACGGATGGTTAAGAAGTACCTTAAAACTAAAGTTAAACCTTTAAATTCAGATTGTTTTAAAGTTGAGGTCACTTATTGGGTAAAAGCGCAAACCCACCAGTTTCTTCTAAAACGGGAACGATTTTTTTTAACTAACTGAGATTATCGAGCAAATGAAGAAAAATATGAAATAAACTTTGATATTCTACACAAAGTTTGTAACCGTGACTTCAGCAGGTGTAGAAACGAACGAATATAAGTTAATCGACTTCTCTTTTTTTAAGCAGCTCCAGCAATTTCATATAGCTATGCCTTATTCAAAACTTGACAAATTTAACATACCCACTCTGATTACAGATGGCATGGTCTTTCTAAGCAATAAGAAATTCTATGCTCTTATAAGCATGGCTTAAGCTGTGCTTATTAACAGTATTCACCACATATCGTAAAATTTAAAAATTATATCAAATATCAGATTATTGATTAAATTATATAAAACATCGGATTAATTTTTTTAACACATGGCTTTGGTCGCTCTAACCCTATCAAGCCATACACCAACATCAGTGAAAGGTGATATTTAATTAATAATTTAAAAAAAAAATGAGAAAAACATGACGTTTATTAATGCAATCAAAAGCAATCGTATTTCGTAAATGAGTCATAATAGTAGAAACAATCGCTAAATGTGGCAAGTGTTTGAAGATATTCATAAGCAGCGTAGGACTAAATTGCTCATTTCCGATCTGTAATGCCAATATTATTAGATACGCTCCCTTCTGGTCGACACATCATTGCTTAAGTCGATCAAATTGTTCAAAATCTTCAGAAAATTCGGCGCATTTGATCTCATGATATCCATGAGAAACTAATTGTTCACCAAAAAACACTGCTTTTAGTGTATAATAACATACGAGAGTGTAATAACTCATGAAAAATTTAGCTCAACAATGCGGCAGAGGCAATTTTGTTCTTTCGTATTTAGGTACTATCCGAAATTTCATAAGTTACATTTGTCACGTTTCTCTCACCGTGGTTGTGGTATAAGCGACTTAGCTTGTCGCTGTAAAACCTTATGGGTCTCGAGTCGATAATATTAACAATGTACGTTTCACCGAATTATTAAGTCAATAAAAATGATAGACTTGCTTGGTCTACTGAAAACAAAGCGCTTTAACAGCACACAGAAAATAGATTTTCGTCAAAAGAAAACCTTTTAAGCTAATCGTTTCTTAACGCCATCTTTCCAATAAGAAATTTTAAAAGCACCTTTCTACCACGGTTTTAATTATTACACTTTTTCTCTTCACAACTACAGGCAAAGTAAATGAACTCATTATAAAATTTGATATGACTTACCAGTCCTGCACCGATAACAGCAACATTTAATTTCGGTATTGAGCTCTGTAAACCATTCCCAGTGGATTGTACAAGTTTTTCATTCATTTCTAAAGTCGAGTGACTAAAATGAAAAATTTATATAATATTAAATTTAACGACTAATGATCGCTTAAACACCGTTTTGTCAAAAATGTTTGCCTAATAAGCCCCACAAAAATCGATCTTTATTCTACTAACGATTCTGTAAGAATAACTTGTTTCGCATCATAGACTAACAAATATTTGCGGTTTTTTATTTTCGTTATATGTTTTTTTTCTTTTTATTGTCTTTAAGACGCTCTATTAACACAGACAGATGTATAACAATGCCTATCTTAAGAGTGTCTGATGCACTCGTACGTGCGATTGTTTGTTTCATAATGAAAGATTATCATTCACAGTTGTTAGCTGTGTGCATATATGTGGTGAACCGTTTAAAAAAAGCGAAAAAGGCAGATAAACTGAACGCTGAAAAAATGTGAAAATGTAAGTAATCTAGAGGTGGGAATAACTGTAAAACCAAGCCCAACAAGATGTTGGCAATTAACTAAGAATTAAAAATATATAAACATACCCGTATGTATATAAGGCATAAAGTGTTAGTAATGCGTGTAATAAGTACAAAATCCATACGCTTGTCACAAAGGAGAACAGTAGCAAGTGTTTATTTTTATGTATGTGTTCAATTTTTCTCATATCTGGCTTAAAATGAATCCCTACAAGTGTCTGTCTAGTCAGTTTTTTTAATTAATTATATGCCTGTACGTTACTCTCTTTCAGATCTACAAACCCACACACACACACACACACACGAAGCCAAACAGACACATGTATATCCAGCTATAGGCACATTGAGAAACACATATTCTACTTAACTCTTAATAAGTTGTCTTGATAAGGCATGCTAAGTTTTCTTACTGCCTTGTTTGTTATTCATTCTTTTAGAATTTGGTAATCTTAGGTGTGCGTTCTTTGAGGAAGAGACAATATATAATGTAGTGGCGGCGGCCGATTATCATTTTTTTAGAAGAATCGATTTGAATTTCTACAAACTGTGTGGCAACAGGTTTTTAACACCCAATATAACGGGTTTATTCTCGAACTATACGTTTCGCAATCCGTTCGAATATCCGAATAGGTAAGAATCGCGATTGCCAAATCTGGGCCCGTGGGTTCACATCTCAAGTGTGGCAGTGTTCAGTTTAGACGTAGCCATAGTCAGTGCTCAATCGATAAAGGGATAACACGTAAAGGTTGGGCACCTCCACCTTATCCCTTTCCTCCCTTTTTTCTGACCGTCACTGTAGATTGGCAAAAGCCAAATTGGTCGAAAACACTTTCCGTTATCGAACTTGTCCGTACTTTTCTTCACTTTAAAAATGCACTGGGAATAGAACGTATGTCAAGATTGGTTGAAGTTCACCATAACTTTTTCAAATAATGTTAGGTCCACACCTTTGTTGGGTGTGTGTTAAACTAGCTTCTTTATTGCTTCTGTTACATTCAATAACAATTCTCGTAGGATCTATTAAGTACACGAATTTCTTATTTGCGTGCAGTTTCGAGTTGGTGCACATGGGTCCGCCCTCCTGTCTGTTTGTTGTTTAGAGGTGGATTGGACCAGTTAAGTTAATGTTAGATCCATAATCCAGAAACGAAGTTGAGAGCGATTGATGAAAAAATCCAAGCATAGGTAGACTGATGTGACAGAGTGTTCGCAATGAGAGGCTCTGTTCCGCTGTCAATCCATAAATCACCGTACTTGGTACTGTACTGTCAAGATCCGGCTAATAATGCCGATAAAAGAGAAAGTGTAGGCGATTCGTGATTGTAATAGGAATACTAAATGTAAAATTAGAATGAAAACTCAGCTGATTTGATAAAGGCAGTCAGTTGCTTCAAATGCCATTCATTTATTCTATATTATAGCGTTTACACGTGTTCCCTGTTAAGACAGAATTATCCGTGCATATCCATCTGTTAGATAACTTAAAGTTCGAAACAATTTCTATAAATTATTGGCATTAGTTGCGTATATTTTCAGCTTAAATTAATTTATATGTGGGCTTTCTTTGTTCGAAAGACTATCCAGCACATTTGCCTGCGAAGCCAATGACGAGATCTGTAAGGCTGCAAGTTTTATAATTTATAAAAATTGCCGTAAGATTGTTATAAAGCGCCTTAATGTGGCGACGTAAAGATAATTCACGGTCAGATCGAAAGAAATTTTTCGGCGTATATTGGTATATCAAAAATAAAGTTGAAATTTTTTTTTAAGATATAACTCTGTTTTAGAATTACTACTCATTTACAATTCAACACATTTTAGCATACCGACCGTGATATATTTATTGCTTCAACGGTATTGACACTGATTAAAGTCTCGTCTTTACGATCAGAGAAGAGAACGTGTTCTCATTATAAATATTAAATTAGTGAGCAGTAAACAAAAACATTTTTACAAAATTTGTATTTAACAAAAAAATAAATGTTCTGATAAGGCTAAGTATTTTTTTTAACACTTTTCTTTGATCCGTCTCTTACTACCCCTTCATTTCCCTTTTTGAGGCATTTCACATATATCACAATTTAAAATAGAATAATGAATATAAAACTATTTAATAAGAACCACTGACAAAGTTGACGAGGGTCGTTTAATAAATCTTTTAAATGGTTGAATTCTCCTTTTCCTTAACGGGCAGAAATTATTTCAGTTTGTTCAAAAAACAGCCGACTGACATTCTGTATTTGTTTTGACCTTTAAATTCACATTCCGTGTTATCGTAATGTTATGAGCGTTAATAGAGGATTCAGTTTGGGCATAAAAATAGCTTGATTGGCATAAACTTCCTTTTTTGTCCTATTACTACTATTACTACTAAGCTTATATATTTTTGAAATACATCATCTAAGAGTGAAGGATTTTGTTAACACGTTTGCAGCAGCCAGAAGGAAGCTTCAGAGACGCCATATATATATTCTTGGTCAACATCAAACTCTGAATTGATTTAAGAATATCCTTCTGTGCATTTGTCCGTCACTGTAATGTCTGTTGTACATTTTTCAACTGAGAACACTTCTCTTTTGCGAAATAAAAAAAAATTGCTTTTTCCCCCATTACTCATAAACTACGCATATTCTATAGGCACTCGTACAAAAACGAAAAAAATTGACCACGTCTACCCAATATTACCGTGTACCAAAATTTAATTTTTTTCCATACCTTTATAACGCGCAGAAACTAGCTTCATAAGCTTCATAAAGTATATAAATTTTTTACCAGTTTCAAATTTGGATTGTACCTAAACATGGCCGTCTGTTTGTCAGTCCATCTGTCTATCTGCGCAGCTGTGTCGTTAGCTAAAATAAAGACATCGCTCACAAATTGATAAAAGAATTTGGAACTGACACGTACTTTTGAAAGAACACGCCTACAATGCCCACGCACTGAGAAGAAGTTTTATTTTGAAAATAGAAAAATCAGCCACCGCTACTGCATATGATAGTGCATGAAAATGTAATTCTTTTACATTTTTCGTCTGGTTTTTGGATAACGGTGATGAACACAAAAGATTAGGTCACGATGGAATATAATTTTCTTACTTGTTTTATAATAAGCTTATACTTAATAATAGTTAAGAGTGTAAAGGTAAATAACGCATCACTTTATAACTCCTCTGTCCGATACACCGCACATTTGGTTTCTGGGATAGTATTAACCTTTAAACGAAATGTGTCTAAATTTCATGACATTCTGACAATTAATTTCTAGTTTACGATAGTTTTAGTGATGCCATCTTTTGTTACCTCCGAAACACTGTCATACTCAGAATTTCGTTTGTTAATTAAATCCCGCTTTTTGATGAAATAGAATATCCTCAACAATCAATATTGACTTGAAAAATGTTATGGCCATCCACTTTTAACACTTCGAAATCTTTATTTTCTTATAAAATAATTTATTACTCACTGTTTTTTATTTTAAGGCAATTTTTGTAAGTAGGCGGATGGTCTGTTACGAAAGCAAGTTATTTCCGATAGATCACGTCCAAATAAATTAGACCCCGAGGTAATAATATAAATGAATTAATTGTATATATCAAACAAGAGAGATCCAGACCTGGATTTCATTAATCGCTGTGATATTTGTTACCAAGCTGATCCTATATTTGGTCAGTTGTTCAGCACCTACTTTACGTATAAAAGCGCAAGGACTTCGTACACTGAAAAGATGCTTCTGGTATATGTATGCCGATCTGTTGCAGCAAGGTTCATATTACTTGAAAATCTTATCTTCAGATCAGCTTATTATCAGATTTTCGAATTTCCAGGAGGCATGTATTTACCGAAAGCCGACTCAAGCCGTTTGATAATTGGCGTTTGTTGGATTTTTGCAATAGTTTTAGTGACGACACATTGAGGTAACTTGGTGGCATTTCTAACGTTTCCACGTTTACAACCAGGTTTCAATTATCCATTCTATCTTCTTATCTAACTTTTCATGCAGCGAGAATTCAAAGAAGAACTGGTTTTAAGAAACAATCCATTTTTTGAGAATTATGCTGCTGTAAGTTCTTAGCATAGTTGTCAATTCAACGCGTAACAAACCCTATCGAATATTTTATAACATGTGTACTTTCTGAGTCATCGTAAGCAGCAGATAATTAAACAGAGAAATACAGGGTTAATAAGAACATTATGGCCATGCTCGACAGCGTCGTACATGTCGGTTTGCAGCATCTAGCTTCTCTTAGTTTATAACCTATTTATTTGTGTCTGCTTACTTATAAGACATAAAGACCCTGAGAGAATGGAAGAATACCTAAAATAGCAATTGATAATGCTAAGCCAATTGCTTGTCCTAATTTATTAGGAATAGACAGTAAAATTGCGTAGGCGAATAAAAAATACCATTCTGGTTGAATATGAGATGTTACTAAAAGGTTTGAGTGGATAAAATTATCAGAATTTACTAATAAATTGGATATAGATGAAGGATTTCATTAACTGGTTTAGTTAAACCGATGGCTTACATGAAATTAATTATAGCTACAAATAATTATCACTATCCATTAGGACAGC